CTGCCTGTGTTCCAATAAAACTTTGTTTGCAAAGACAGGCAGAGGGCCACGTTTGCTCCCTGGGTCACAGAGCACTGAAGTCTAAGCCAGGGTGCACTGCAGAGAGCGACCGGGGGCTCCGGCTTCCCCAGGTGGGGATCTCTTTTGTGGAAACATTCGCTGTGGCAGGGAGGTGCTGGCCGTGGGGAATTTAACCCCCGAGTCCGTGCAGGCGCAAGGCCAGGCGTGCTTCGGTGTGCCCTAGCCCATCCCCTCGAAGCCTGCACAGGGACACAGACCTGCCCCCCCCCCCCCCAGGTGCCGCAGCTGACTGCAGCCCCGTCGCTGTCCCACGGTCAGCACTCACCGTGGGCAGAGACTGATCCGAGCAAGGCCTTGGGCTCTTGCTTTGCCTTCCTCGATCCTCAAGTCCGCAGCTGGGGACACAGGTGGGGCAGGAGCCCGTGGCCCCCACAACCCGCAGAGCCTTGGCCTGCCTTTCTGAGCCCAGAGGTTTCTTCCACTTGGGGCTGCTGTGAGCTGGGGATCCCTCAAGCCCAGTGCCCTCTCTCCCGTCACCTTCAGATCTGCCCCAGGGGGACCCGCGGGCCCCTGGCGACTCTGGACTGGTCGTTGGGTTGAGGGCCAAGCGGGTGCCCGGTGGACCTCGTTGGCGTGGTCCTGCGTGCTTTGTCGTCACTGCGGGTGCACTTGGTGCTGGGGGGACGCAATAAACAGCAAAGACCAAGAACCTGGAAGCAGAACCATCTGCTGGTCACGCGTCACGGAGCCGTGTCTTCAGCAGCGACAGGAGCTACTTCCATCACGTATCTTCCCAGCGTGTTGCAGTCTTACGCTGTCTTTCCCACAGCTCACGTCCTAGGGAATTTTAGACTAGTTTGCAGGAGTTTCCAGTTTTATTTTGAAAATCATGTTCTATCTCTTGGAAACCGATTGTTGAACCTGTGCTTTTCCTGACTTTGCACAACTCAAACTTGTTTCAAAGGAAAAGGACAAAAACTATTTCAGAAATTGTACAAGGGGTGAAGAAAACCAAGAACGTTAAATTAAATTAGACTGCGGCTAGAGCATCCACCTCCTTCAGGTGTTAAGGAGCCTTCCCTCTGCCGTGACCTTGGAAAAGGCCTGACCCAGCTTCCGTGAGGACTGCCACACCAAGAAATACCGCCGCAGGACCATGAGGGGGTTAAAAATGCTTCCTGGGTCTGGTGCCGTGGCTCACTTGGTTAATACTCCACCTGCGGCACCGGCATCCCATTTGAGTGCCAGGTTCTACTCCCAGTTGCTCCTCTTCCAGTCCAGCTTTCTGCTGTGGCCCGGGAGTGCAGTGGAGGATGGCCCAAGTGCTTGGGCTCCTGCGCCCACATGGGAGACCGGGAAGAAGCACCCGGCTCCTGGCTTCAGATCGGTGCAGCTCCCGCCATAACAGCCATTTGGGGAGTGAACCAACAGAAGGAAGACCTTTCTCTCTGTCTCTCTCTCACTGTCTATAACTCTACCTGTCAAATAAAAAAAGGCTTCCTTATCAGACAAGCTGAGAGCTTACTGTGGCATCACTGACGCGCGTCTTCAGCCAGCACCGAGCGCAGACTTGGAGGCGCAGTCAGAACATAGACGGAGGACTGAGGAGTCCGCGGGGCAGGCAGCCATTTGCACTGAACACGAAAGCAACGAGCAGGCGATGGTCCTGTATTTCCTCTCGGAAATCTATCAAATCAAAGAAAATGAAGGAGCTTTTTCTGGAAAACAAATCTAAGGTGATGTTTCCCGGGGATGTGGGCGTGAAGCTGACCATGCGCGGCTGTCACCATGTTGGATGCGAGCCGCCCGAGACTGAACACCTCAGGGCCATTTCGAGTTTCCCCACCACACAGGGGTCCGAGCGCACCCGGGAGGGCTCGTGGAGAACGGCTGCCGACTTCGGGTTCCTGTGGATCTGCGCTGGGTGTAAACAGGAAGCGATGGTTCCCAGGATTCCCCAGCCGCTCAGACTGCTGGGATCCTTCTGGAAACAGACTAGATTTGGACCAAAATTTTAAAAAAAAGGTTGTTTATCTGAAATAAACTCCAATCCTTCCAAACTCTCTTTCTTGATATTTAAATAGCCCAGTTGTTAGTATTTTTAAGTAATAAAGAGACCATTATTCTTGACCAGTGATTTATGATCCTGGCAAGAGCTCCAACCCGGAGCATCACACATCCATTATTTATATAAAATGATACTATTTGCTTTATTTTTATTTTAAGCAAAGAAATAGATCTTGGTTTTAAGGAAACTTTGGTTTGGCAAAATGATGAGATAAATAATAAACAGCTGGGAGCCGAAAAAAGCAACAACAAAAAGCAAAGCTCAGGCTGGGCTGTGTCCAGGCCCCGGAAGCGCGGGTCCGTGCGGCTGGTTTTCTCTCAGAGCCAAAGCTCGGCTTCCTGTGTTGATGCAGTGTCCGGGTTAGCGGCCCCAGAGGACGGCTCTGTGCCTCCCTCCTTCCCGGGAGTCTCACCGAGTTACTTCCGGGGAGCCAAGGAGACGCCCAGTGACCAGGGCCTCTGTGCGTGTCTGCACCAGGACCTCCATGCGTGTCTGCACCAGGACCTCCATGTGTGTCTGCACCAGGACCTCCATGCGTGTCTGCACCAGGACCTCCGTGCGTGTCTGCACCAGGTCTGCACCAGGACCTCCATGCGTGTCTGCACCAGGACCTCCGTGCATGTCTGCACCAGGACCTACATGTGTGTCTGCACCAGGACCTCCGTGCGTGTCTACACCAGGACCTCCGTGCGTGTCTGCACCAGGACCTCCATTTGTGTCTGCACCAGGACCTCCATGTGTGTCTGCACCAGGACCTCCATGCTTGTCTGCACCAGGACCTCCATGTGTGTCTGCACCAGGTCTGCACCAGGACCTCCATGCGTGTCTGCACCAGGACCTCCGTGCCTGTCTACACCAGGAACTCCATGCGTGTCTGCACCAGGACCTCCATGTGTGTCTGCACCAGGACCTCCATGCGTGTCTGCACCAGGACCTCCATGTGTGTCTGCACCAGGTCTGCACCAGGACCTCCATGCGTGTCTGCACCAGGACCTCCGTGCGTGTCTGAACCAGGACCTCCATGTGTGTCTGCACCAGGACCTCCATGCGTGTCTGCACCAGGACCTACATGTGTGTCTGCACCAGGTCTGCACCAGGACCTCCATGTGTGTCTGCACCAGGACCTCCATGCGTGTCTGCACCAGGACCTCCGTGCGTGTCTGCACCAGGACCTCCGTGCGTGTCTACACCAGGACCTCCGTGCGTGTCTGCACCAGGACCTCCATTTGTGTCTGCACCAGGACCTCCATGTGTGTCTGCACCAGGACCTCCATGCTTGTCTGCACCAGGACCTCCATGCGTGTCTGCACCAGGACCTCCGTGCGTGTCTGCACCAGGACCTCCATGTCTGTCTGCACCAGGACCTCCGTGTGTGTCTGCACCAGGACCTCCATGTGTGTCTGCACCAGGACCTCCATGCGTGTCTGCACCAGGACCTCCGTGCGTGTCTGCACCAGGACCTCCATGTCTGTCTGCACCAGGACCTCCATGTGTGTCTGCACCAGGACCTCCATGTGTGTCTGCACCAGGACCTCCATGCGTGTCTGCACCAGGACCTCCGTGCGTGTCTGCACCAGGACCTCCGTGCGTGTCTGCACCAGGATCTCCGTGTGTGTCTGCACCAGGTCTGCACCAGGACCTCCATGCGTGTCTGCACCAGGACCTCCGTGTGTGTCTGCACCAGGACCTCCGTGCTTGTCTGCACCAGGACCTCCATGTGTGTCTGCACCAGGACCTCCACGCGTGTCTGCACCAGGACCTCCATGTGTGTCTGCACCAGGACCTCCGTGCGTGTCTGCACCAGGACCTCCGTGCGTGTCTGCACCAGGATCTCCGTGTGTGTCTGCACCAGGTCTGCACCAGGACCTCCATGCGTGTCTGCACCAGGACCTCCGTGCCTGTCTACACCAGGAACTCCATGCGTGTCTGCACCAGGACCTCCATGCGTGTCTGCACCAGGACCTCCATGCGTGTCTGCACCAGGACCTCCATGTGTGTCTGCACCAGGTCTGCACCAGGACCTCCATGCGTGTCTGCACCAGGACCTCCGTGCGTGTCTGAACCAGGACCTCCATGTGTGTCTGCACCAGGACCTCCATGCGTGTCAGCACCAGGACCTCCGTGTGTGTCTGCACCAGGTCTGCACCAGGACCTCCATGTGTGTCTGCACCAGGACCTCCATGCGTGTCTGCACCAGGACCTCCGTGCGTGTCTGCACCAGGACCTCCATTTGTGTCTGCACCAGGACCTCCATGTGTGTCTGCACCAGGACCTCCATGCTTGTCTGCACCAGGACCTCCATGTGTGTCTGCACCAGGTCTGCACCAGGACCTCCATGCGTGTCTGCACCAGGACCTCCGTGTGTGTCTGCACCAGGTCTGCACCAGGACCTCCATGCGTGTCTGCACCAGGACCTCCGTGTGTGTCTGCACCAGGACCTCCGTGCGTGTCTGCACCAGGACCTCCATGTGTGTCTGCACCAGGACCTCCACGCGTGTCTGCACCAGGACCTCCATGTGTGTCTGCACCAGGACCTCCGTGCGTGTCTGCACCAGGACCTCCGTGCGTGTCTGCACCAGGATCTCCGTGTGTGTCTGCACCAGGTCTGCACCAGGACCTCCATGCGTGTCTGCACCAGGACCTCCGTGCCTGTCTACACCAGGAACTCCATGCGTGTCTGCACCAGGACCTCCATGTGTGTCTGCACCAGGACCTCCATGTGTGTCTGCACCAGGTCTGCACCAGGACCTCCATGCGTGTCTGCACCAGGACCTCCGTGCGTGTCTGCACCAGGACCTCCATGTGTGTCTGCACCAGGACCTCCATGCGTGTCTGCACCAGGACCTCCGTGTGTGTCTGCACCAGGTCTGCACCAGGAACTCCATGCGTGTCTGCACCAGGACCTCCATGTGTGTCTGCACCAGGTCTGCACCAGGACCTCCGTGTGTGTCTGCACCAGGACCTCTGTGCGTGTTTGCACCAGGTCTGCACCAGTACCTCCATGTGTGTCTGCACCAGGACCTCCATGTGTGTCTGCACCAGGTCTGCACCAGGACCTCCGTGTGTGTCTGCACCAGGACCTCCGTGCGTGTCTGCACCAGGACCTCCGTGTGTGTCTGCACCAGGACCTCCGTGCGTGTCTGCACCAGGACCTCCGTGTGTGTCTGCACCAGGACCTCCGTGTGTGTCTGCACCAGGACCTCCATGTGTGTCTGCACCAGGACCTCCATGTGTGTCTGCACCAGGACCTCCGTGCGTGTCTGCACCAGGACCTCCATGCGTGTCTGCACCAGGACCTCCGTGCGTGTCTGCACCAGGACCTCCGTGCGTGTCTGCACCAGGTCTGCACCAGGACCTCCATGCGTGTCTGCACCAGGACCTCCGTGCGTGTCTGCACCAGGTCTGCACCAGGACCTCCATGCTTGTCTGCACCAGGACCTCCGTGCGTGTCTGCACCAGGACCTCCGTGCGTGTCTGCACCAGGACCTCCATTTGTGTCTGCACCAGGACCTCCATGTGTGTCTGCACCAGGACCTCCATGTGTGTCTGCACCAGGACCTCCGTGTGTGTCTGCACCAGGTCTGCACCAGGACCTCCATGCGTGTCTGCACCAGGACCTCCGTGCGTGTCTGCACCAGGAGCTCCGTGCGTGTCTGCACCAGGACCTCCATGTGTGTCTGCACCAGGACCTCCATGTGTGTCTGCACCAGGACCTCCGTGTGTGTCTGCACCAGGTCTGCACCAGGACCTCCATGCGTGTCTGCACCAGGACCTCCGTGTGTGTCTGCACCAGGTCTGCACCAGGACCTCCATGCGTGTCTGCACCAGGACCTTCATGCGTGTCTGCACCAGGACCTCCGTGCGTGTCTGCACCAGGACCTCCGTGCGTGTCTGCACCAGGACCTCCATGTGTGTCTGCACCAGGACCTCCACGCGTGTCTGCACCAGGACCTCCGTGCGTGTCTGCACCAGGACCTCCGTGCGTGTCTGCACCAGGACCTCCATGTGTGTCTGCACCAGGACCTCCACGCGTGTCTGCACCAGGACCTCCATGTGTGTCTGCACCAGGATCTCCGTGTGTGTCTGCACCAGGTCTGCACCAGGACCTCCATGCGTGTCTGCACCAGGACCTCCGTGCCTGTCTACACCAGGAACTCCATGCGTGTCTGCACCAGGACCTCCATGCGTGTCTGCACCAGGACCTCCATGCGTGTCTGCACCAGGACCTCCATGTGTGTCTGCACCAGGTCTGCACCAGGACCTCCATGCGTGTCTGCACCAGGACCTCCGTGCGTGTCTGCACCAGGACCTCCATGTGTGTCTGCACCAGGACCTCCATGCGTGTCTGCACCAGGACCTCCGTGTGTGTCTGCACCAGGTCTGCACCAGGACCTCCATGTGTGTCTGCACCAGGACCTCCATGTGTGTCTGCACCAGGTCTGCACCAGGACCTCCGTGTGTGTCTGCACCAGGACCTCTGTGCGTGTCTGCACCAGGACCTCCGTGCGTGTCTGCACCAGGACCTCCGTGCGTGTCTGCACCAGGACCTCCATGTGTGTCTGCACCAGGACCTCCACGCGTGTCTGCACCAGGACCTCCGTGGGTGTCTGCACCAGGACCTCCGTGGGTGTCTGCACCAGGACCTCCATGTGTGTCTGCACCAGGACCTCCATGCGTGTCTGCACCAGGACCTCCGTGTGTGTCTGCACCAGGTCTGCACCAGGACCTCCATGTGTGTCTGCACCAGGACCTCCATGTGTGTCTGCACCAGGTCTGCACCAGGACCTCCGTGTGTGTCTGCACCAGGACCTCTGTGCGTGTCTGCACCAGGACCTCCGTGCGTGTCTGCACCAGGACCTCCGTGCGTGTCTGCACCAGGACCTCCATGTGTGTCTGCACCAGGACCTCCACGCGTGTCTGCACCAGGACCTCCGTGGGTGTCTGCACCAGGACCTCCGTGGGTGTCTGCACCAGGATCTCCGTGTGTGTCTGCACCAGGTCTGCACCAGGACCTCCATGCGTGTCTGCACCAGGACCTCCGTGCCTGTCTACACCAGGAACTCCATGCGTGTCTGCACCAGGACCTCCATGCGTGTCTGCACCAGGACCTCCGTGCGTGTCTGCACCAGGACCTCCATGTGTGTCTGCACCAGGACCTCTGTGCGTGTCTGCACCAGGACCTCTGTGCGTGTCTGCACCAGGACCTCCATGCGTGTCTGCACCAGGACCTCCATGCGTGTCTGCACCAGGACCTCCATGTGTGTCTGCACCAGGACCTCCGTGTGTGTCTGCACCAGGTCTGCACCAGGACCTCCATGTGTGTCTGCACCAGGACCTCTGTGCGTGTCTGCACCAGGTCTGCACCAGGACCTCCATGTGTGTCTGCACCAGGACCTCCGTGCATGTCTGCACCAGGACCTCCGTGTGTGTCTGCACCAGGACCTCCGTGCGTGTCTGCACCAGGACCTCCGTGTGTGTCTGCACCAGGACCTCCGTGCATGTCTGCACCAGGACCTCCGTGTGTGTCTGCACCAGGACCTCCATGTGTGTCTGCACCAGGACCTCCATGTGTGTCTGCACCAGGACCTCCATGTGTGTCTGCACCAGGACCTCCGTGCGTGTCTGCACCAGGACCTCCATGCGTGTCTGCACCAGGACCTCCGTGCGTGTCTGCACCAGGACCTCCGTGCGTGTCTGCACCAGGTCTGCACCAGGACCTCCATGCGTGTCTGCACCAGGACCTCCGTGCGTGTCTGCACCAGGTCTGCACCAGGACCTCCATGCTTGTCTGCACCAGGACCTCCGTGCGTGTCTGCACCAGGACCTCCGTGCGTGTCTGCACCAGGACCTCCATTTGTGTCTGCACCAGGACCTCCATGTGTGTCTGCACCAGGACCTCCGTGTGTGTCTGCACCAGGTCTGCACCAGGACCTCCATGCGTGTCTGCACCAGGACCTCCGTGCGTGTCTGCACCAGGACCTCCGTGCGTGTCTGCACCAGGACCTCCATGTGTGTCTGCACCAGGACCTCCATGTGTGTCTGCACCAGGACCTCCGTGTGTGTCTGCACCAGGTCTGCACCAGGACCTCCATGCGTGTCTGCACCAGGACCTCCGTGTGTGTCTGCACCAGGTCTGCACCAGGACCTCCATGCGTGTCTGCACCAGGACCTCCGTGCGTGTCTGCACCAGGACCTCCGTGCGTGTCTGCACCAGGACCTCCGTGCGTGTCTGCACCAGGACCTCCATGTGTGTCTGCACCAGGACCTCCACGCGTGTCTGCACCAGGACCTCCGTGCGTGTCTGCACCAGGACCTCCGTGCGTGTCTGCACCAGGACCTCCATGTGTGTCTGCACCAGGACCTCCACGCGTGTCTGCACCAGGACCTCCATGTGTGTCTGCACCAGGATCTCCGTGTGTGTCTGCACCAGGTCTGCACCAGGACCTCCATGCGTGTCTGCACCAGGACCTCCGTGCCTGTCTACACCAGGAACTCCATGCGTGTCTGCACCAGGACCTCCATGCGTGTCTGCACCAGGACCTCCATGCGTGTCTGCACCAGGACCTCCATGTGTGTCTGCACCAGGTCTGCACCAGGACCCTCCATGCGTGTCTGCACCAGGACCTCCGTGCGTGTCTGCACCAGGACCTCCATGTGTGTCTGCACCAGGACCTCCATGCGTGTCTGCACCAGGACCTCCGTGTGTGTCTGCACCAGGTCTGCACCAGGACCTCCATGTGTGTCTGCACCAGGACCTCCATGTGTGTCTGCACCAGGTCTGCACCAGGACCTCCGTGTGTGTCTGCACCAGGACCTCTGTGCGTGTCTGCACCAGGACCTCCGTGCGTGTCTGCACCAGGACCTCCGTGCGTGTCTGCACCAGGACCTCCATGTGTGTCTGCACCAGGACCTCCACGCGTGTCTGCACCAGGACCTCCATGTGTGTCTGCACCAGGACCTCCGTGTGTGTCTGCACCAGGACCTCCGTGGGTGTCTGCACCAGGATCTCCGTGTGTGTCTGCACCAGGTCTGCACCAGGACCTCCATGCGTGTCTGCACCAGGACCTCCGTGCCTGTCTACACCAGGAACTCCATGCGTGTCTGCACCAGGACCTCCATGCGTGTCTGCACCAGGACCTCCGTGCGTGTCTGCACCAGGACCTCCATGTGTGTCTGCACCAGGACCTCCGTGCGTGTCTGCACCAGGACCTCCACGCGTGTCTGCACCAGGACCTCCATGCGTGTCTGCACCAGGACCTCCGTGCGTGTCTGCACCAGGACCTCCATGTGTGTCTGCACCAGGACCTCCGTGTGTGTCTGCACCAGGTCTGCACCAGGACCTCCATGTGTGTCTGCACCAGGACCTCCATGTGTGTCTGCACCAGGTCTGCACCAGGACCTCCGTGTGTGTCTGCACCAGGACCTCTGTGCGTGTCTGCACCAGGTCTGCACCAGGACCTCCATGTGTGTCTGCACCAGGACCTCCGTGCATGTCTGCACCAGGACCTCCGTGTGTGTCTGCACCAGGACCTCCGTGCGTGTCTGCACCAGGACCTCCGTGTGTGTCTGCACCAGGACCTCCATGCGTGTCTGCACCAGTACCTCCATGTGTGTCTGTACCAGGACCTCCGTGCGTGTCTGCACCAGGACCTCCGTGTGTGTCTGAACCAGGACCTCCGTGCGTGTCTGCACCAGGACCTCCGTGCGTGTCTGCACCAGGACCTCCGTGCGTGTCTGCACCAGGACCTCCATGTGTGTCTGCACCAGGACCTCCGTGCGTGTCTGCACCAAGTCTGCACCAGGACCTCCATGTGTGTCTGCACCAGGACCTCCATGCGTGTCTGCACCAGGTCTGCACCAGGTCTGCACCAGGACCTCCATGTGTGTCTGCACCAGGACCTCCGTGCGTGTCTGCACCAGGACCTCCATGTGTGTCTGCACCAGGACCTCCGTGCGTGTCTGCACCAGGACCTCCATGCATGTCTGCACCAGGACCTCCGTGTGTGTCTGCACCAGGTCTGCACCAGGTCCTCCGTGTGTGTCTGCACCAGGACCTCCATGCGTGTCTGCACCAGGTCTGCACCAGGACCTCCATGTGTGTCTGCACCAGGACCTCCGTGCGTGTCTGTACCAGGACCTCCGTGTGTGTCTGCACCAGGACCTCCGTGCGTGTCTGCACCAGGACCTCCGTGTGTGTCTGCACCAGGACCTCCGTGCGTGTCTGCACCAGGACCTCCATGTGTGTCTGCACCAGGACCTCCATGTGTGTCTGTACCAGGACCTCCGTGCGTGTCTGCACCAGGACTTCCGTGCGTGTCTGCACCAGGACCTCCATGCGTGTCTGTACCAGGACCTCCGTGCGTGTCTGCACCAGGACCTCCATGTGTGTCTGCACCAGGACCTCCGTGCGTGTCTGCACCAGGACCTCCATGTGTGTCTGCACCAGGACCTCCGTGCGTGTCTGTACCAGGACCTCCGTGCGTGTCTGCACCAGGACCTCCATGTGTGTCTGCACCAGGACCTCCGTGCGTGTCTGCACCAGGACCTCCGTGTGTGTCTGCACCAGGACCTCCATGTGTGTCTGCACCAGGACCTCCGTGCGTGTCTGCAGCAGGACCTCCGTGCGTGTCTGCACCAGGACCTCCGTGCGTGTCTGCACCAGGACCTCCGTGGGTGTCTGCACCAGGACCTCCGTGCATGTCTGCACCAGGACCTCCGTGAGTGTCTGCACCAGGAGCTCCATGCGTGTCTGCGCCCGGGCAGCCCGGCCTCGTTGCCGCAGTCCTCCTTGTCCTTGCTCTTTCCATCCTGGTTGGGGTCACACCGTGAAGCCAGCACGGGGCATCTCTCACCACTCTCCCAAAATGAGGTGCTACGCCCCATTGTCCGTGAGCTGGGCAGCTTCACGCTGGCCCCTGGCAGAGTGTGGAGCAGGGTCAGCACACGGCGTGGTCCAGGACAGAGGAACCTGTGCAGTGTCACGACGGCCATGGGCGCTTGCACAGACGGAGGCTCGGAGGCGGCAGGCGGCCATGCTTCCTCAGCTGCATGGCCGTCGGCTCCTTCACGTCCCTGGTGCTCAGAGGCAGACTTGGGGATCTCTCAGAGGCAGCACGGGCAGGATGCTCGCGCACCTGTCTGCCTTCGTACGTGGGGACGCATGGCACTATCCGTGCCGCACACATGCAGACGAGTAACCAGTTTTTAAAAAAGATTTATTTGTTTGTTTGTTTCAAAGAGAGAGGGAGAGAGATGTTTCATTCTCTGGTTCACTCCCCAAAACGGCTGCACCAGCCAGGGCTGGCCTAGGCTGAATCCAGGAGCCAGGAGCTCCATCCATCTCCCACCTGGTGGCAGGGGCCTTCCCAGGCACATTAGCAGGAAGCTGGGGGGCCAGCGCTCTGGTGCAGTGGGTTAAAGCCATGGCCAGCAGGGCCGGCATCCCATATGGGCGCCACTCCGAGTCCCGGCTGCTCCACCTCTGATCCAGCTCTCTGCTATGGCCTGGAAAGCAGTGGAGGGTGGCCCAGGTCCTTGGGGTCCTGCACATGCGTAGGAGACCTGGAGGAAGCTCCTGGATCCTGACTTCGGATAGGTGCAGCTCCAGCCATCGAGGGAGTGAGCCGTTGGATGGAAGACCTCTCTCTCTGTCTCTACCTCTCTCTGTAACTCTTTCAAATAAACAAAATAAATCTTTAAAAAAAAATAGGAAGCTGGATCAGAAGCAAAGCAGCCAGGACTCAGGCACTTGGCAAGGGTGCCAGCACTCCAAACAGCGGCTTAACCCTCTGTGCCACAACCCGGCCCCTAACTGGTTTCATATTTTAGTGAATTAACACATGAACCCGGGCCGGCGCCGCGGCTCACTAGGCTAATCCTCCACCTTGCGGCGCCGGCACACCGGGTTCTATTCCTGGTCGGGGCGCCGGATTCTGTCCCGGTTGCCCCTCTTCCAGGCCAGCTCTCTGCTGTGGCCAGGGAGTGCAGTGGAGGATGGCCCAAGTGCTTGGGCCCTGTACCCCATGGGAGACCAGGAGAAGTACCTGGCTGCTGCCATCAGATCAGTGCGGTGCACTGGCCGCAGCGCACTGGCCGCGGCGGCCATTGGAGGGTGAACCAACGGCAAAGGAAGACCTTTCTCTCTGTCTCTCTCACTGTCCACTCTGCCTGTCCAAAAAAAATTTAAAAAAAGAAAACACACATGAACCCGTAGGCAGAGGATGAATGAAGCTCACATTGTCTGTGAAGAATTTCCTTGATAGTGTTTTATATTTAAAGTAAAGCTTCCGGCCGGTGCCGCGGCTCACTAGGCTAATCCTCCGCCTAGCGGCGCCGGCACACCGGGTTCTAGTCCCAGTCGGGGCGCCGGATTCTGTCCCGGTTGCCCCTCTTCCAGGCCAGCTCTCTGCTG